TCTTTGGTAAGTAACCAAATGCTCCTCCCGCTTCGAAAAACTTGAGTTCACTATCACTAGATCGAATGCCTTGGCAAAGTCCAACAGCGAAGTGCCCCCTCCGTTCCGCTCCCCGAAACCAAAGCCGCCATGCACCTCAGTATAACCACCTACAGATAACCCAATATGACCATTGAAATCTCCTCCTATGAATAACCTCTCGGAAGGCGGAATACTACGAACGATCTCATCCAACCCCTCCCAAAAGTGCCTTTTAATCTCCTCATCCAAGCCTGCTTGCGGCGCATACGCGCTAACGAAATTTAAAGCACACTCACCCACCCACCACCAACTTAATAGTCATTAGTCTATCATTCACCGGCCTGACCTCTACCACCGACTCTCTAAGATGGCTATCTACCAGGATACCCACTCCATTCTTACCTCTCAGGACTCTAGAGTACCACAACTTATACCCATCAAAATTTTTTGTCCTCAATCCGACCCACCTAGTCTCCTGGACACACGCTATATTAATCTTCCTCTTCTGAAGGATCTTCGCNGCATTCAAGTTATTTATGAAGGTTTTGGGTCACTTCATCCATAACTTTAAGGTCTACGCAAGAAACTTAAATTTTTATATATGATACAAGCGACGGTCTCTGATACAGTAGTTTTTATACTCGTATAGGTTCTTATGAAAGCAAGTGTAAATTTTTAAAAATCTATGTTAGCCTTAAAAAGGTTTAGGTACTCAATTTCTATGCACAAATTTTTGTTAGAGCATGAATCTTTTGCTCATTCTCACACTAGTAAACAACAACAACAACCCAGTAAAATCCCACAATTGGGGTCTGGGGAGGGTAGTATGGATGCAGACCTTACCCCTACCTCGAAGAAGTAGAGAGGCTATTTCCGGAAGACCCGCGGCTCAAGATAATAAGAAAAACAAAAAGGAGAGAATATTAGTTTCACTACAGAGATCATAGGAAAAATAGGAACATAAAATGCAGAAGGAAAAACGCAAAATAAAAACGATGGCCAGTAAATAGATCCTGCACTGAAAAGAGAAAATAGTAAGACACGACAATGCCCCTAGCTATATCAAACAAAAACCCTACCAGACTAGGCTCACAACAGTACAAGGTAACGCAAGACTCAACTACCTCCTAGCCTACAACCGTAATACTCGACCTCCACAACTTCCTATCAAGTGTCATGTCCTCGAAAATCTAAAGCCTCGCCATATCCTGCCTAATCACTTATTTCCAATACTTCTTAGGCCGCCCTCTACCTCTTCTCGTGCCCTTTACAACCAGTCGCTCACACCTTCTTAATGGAGCATCTGGGCTTCTCCTCTGTACATGTCCGGACCATCTGAGTCTCACTTCCCGCATCTTGTCATCAATGAGAGCCACGTGCACCTTCTCCCGAATATCATCATTTCTAATCTTGTCCATCCTAGTGTGCCCGCACATCCACCTCAACATCCTTATTTCTGCTACTTTCATCTTTTGGATATGTGAGTTCTTAACAGGCCAACACTCAGCCCTATACACCATGGTCGGTCTAACCACCACTTTATAGAACTTACCTTTGAGTATCGTTGGCACTCTCTTGTCACACAAAACTCCGGATGCTAACCTCCACTTCATCCATCCTACCCTAACATGGTGTGCGATATCCTCATCGATCTCCCCTCCCCGTGGATAATCAACCCTAGGTACTTGGAGCTACCTCTACTTGGGATAACCTGTGATTCAAGCCTCACATCCCCGCCCAATTCCCCCGGCTCAGTGCCGAACTTACACTCCAGGTATTTTGTCTTCGTTCTGCTCAGTTTGAAACCTTTACACTCAAGAGTCTGTCTCCAAACTTCTAGTCTCTCGTTAACACCGGCTCGTGACTCATCAATCAGAACTATGTCATCGGCAAATAGCATGCACCATGGCACCTCCCCTTGAATATGGTTTGTTAATGCATACATCACCAGGGCGAATAAAAACGGACTGAGCGCAGAGCATTGGTGTAACCCCATTTCAACCGAAAAATTCTCAGAGTCGCCTCCTACTGTCCTAACCGGAATCTTAACCCCATCATACATGTCCCTAATCGCCATAATATAGGGAACCGACACACCTTTTGTCTCCAAGCATCTCCAGAGAACTTTTCAGGAACCTTGTCATACGCTTTCTCTAGGTCAATAAACACCATGTGCAGATCCTTCTTTCTCTCTCTGTACAGTTCCATCAACCTCCTAACAAGATGTATAGCTTCTGTGGTAGAACGACCCGACATGAACCTGAACTGGTTGTCGGATAAAGACACTGTCATCCTCACCCTCGCTTCAACGACCCTCTCCAATACTTTCATGGTATGACTCAGTAATTTGATACCCCTATAATTGTTACAACTTTGGATATCACCTTTGTTCTTATACAATGGAACCATCGTACTCCACCTTCACTTATCCGGCATCATCTTAGCCTTAAAAATAACATTAAACAACCCAGTCAACCACTCCAAACCTGCTCTCCCTACACACTTCCAAAATTCCACCGGAATCTCGTCTGGCGCGGTTACTCTGCCCCTACTCATCTTACGCATAGCCCCAACAACCTCCTCAATCTTGATATGCCTACAGTGCCTGAAGTCACGGTGACTCTCAGAATGCTCCAATTCGCCTAGCACAATATCCCGATCCCCTTTTTCATTCTCACACTAGTAAATTTGTAGTAAAGTTCAAGTGTAAAATACAAATTCAAGTTACAAAACGGTGTCGGTTTGTATAATATCTCAAAGTGCACATACAAAAGCATTTGAAGAGGTTCATTTATAGGTACTCCATCCAGAGGCGGAGCTAGGATTTAGAGTTTATGAGTTCAGAATTTTAGTCATTTTAAGTTACTGAGTTCTAAATTATTAATTTGTATATATTCAATAATTTTTTTTAAGACAATATACGGTTTGGACCAAAGCGACTGGGTTCGGCCGACTCCATCTATTACTTTAATTTTTTAGATACTAAATTATTGAAAATGACTCGCTTGCGTTACTGATTCTAGAGTCTGCATACATATAATTAGTAGTGGTACTAAAATTGGAGTTTCAGCAATGTCAATAAAGTCATATATAAAACCTTTGATTTTTTCCCCCTTCTTCTTTTGTGCTGATCAACTAAGAAGATTAGGGTTGTATATTCGGTTTATCGATTCGATTTTGACCCTTATCGATAATTAATTATCGATTATCGATTTGTACATATGCTTATCGTTATCGTTTCAATAAGGTTTCGATTTTTTCGATTTCGATTTATCGATTTTTGGGGGTTATCAATTCGGTTATCGATTACACCAATAAGAAAATTTGCGGGATTCCACGAAAAGTATATTGCTATAAACACGCATAACTAATATGGACAAAAAGAAGCTAAAATAAGACACCGTTTATAACATAAAAATTATAGAATATAGAATAAGGGTAAATTATTTCCTGCGAAAATCCAAGAAAAATTAACATACTTCCCCAGATCTAAATCAGTAATTTTCGTGTAATCCCTTAACAGAAATCTGAAAAAACAAAAACATGTAGGTTTTGCTGGTACAAAGAATCTTGTAACTCACCAAACTATCTAATGGAAAAGACTGAATACTACCATGAGTCTAATTTTCATATTTATCAGTTGATTATAAAACATTTAAAACCACAATCTACAACAAATTCAGAATAAGAAACACAGAAAAATTCAAACTTGAAGCAAAAGCACAAGTCTTTTCTGTCATTTAAGAGATGAAAGAAGAAAAACAAATATGTCAGCAGGACACAGAGGAGGGAAAATATTACTACTCCTATATAGTATATATTCTGAGGAAGAAGAATACCTGAAATGATTTTTCTTTTTTCCTTCCAAAAGTCTGTGCAACTCTGCCTGTACTTTCTTATTTCAACTATTAATTAACCCTTTAAACTATAGACGGAAGAGAGAGGAAAGGGTATTATAGAATAAGAGTATATTTATCTTTTTAGTATATCTTATCGGTTTATCGATAAACCGATAACCGAAAAGGACAAAATCGAAATCATAACTCAATAAGGAAAATTTTGAAATCGATAAACCGATTCGAATGCATCCCTAAAGAAGATATTTCTTTTCCAGTTTTGGTCCCTTGGTTGCTTTGTGTCAAAAAGTTTTTTCCTTTATAATATCTTTGTTGGACTCTGGACAAAAACGGTCAAAAACGGTTCCATGGTCTAGTGGTCAGGACATTGGACTCTGAATCCAGTAACCCGAGTTCAAATCTCGGTGGAACCTTCTTTTTGTAATATCTTTTTCTTCATAAGACCGAACAAAAAAATTACTACACAGTAGTTGGTATGACATAAGCATTATTCTAATATGTGTCTATAGAGTAATTGGTATAGGCAAGTGATTTAATTTTGTACACCATTCACGAAATAAAATTTTGAATCCATTCCACCAATTCCTCAACTAATTGTTCACACTTTATCAACAGCTTTTATCAAAAGTCACTTATAGCTTGTTTGGTCAAGCTTCTTTTTGGCCAAAAGTGTTTTTTTTGGCCAAAAATTGAGGTGTTTGGCCAAGCTTTTGGAAGGAAAAAGTGCTTTTGGGGAGAAGTAGAAGCAGTTTTGGAGAAACAGAAAAAAGTAGCTTATCTCCAAAATTACTTTTTTGAGAAGCACTTTTGAGAAAAATACACTTAGAAACAGTTTTTTAAAGCTTGGCCAAACACTAATTGCTGCTCAGAAGTGCTTTTCAAACTAATTAGCCAAACACAAACTACTTCTCACCAAAAGTATTTTTAAAAAAAGCACTTCTCAAAATAAGCTGATTTTTGCAGCTTGGCCAAACGGGCTATTTGGCACACCAGCTCAGAACTTGCAGATTTTTCATAAGAAAAGAAACTAATTTCAAGACAAGGAAAAGAGCACTTTATCACTGAATAAAAAGCTGCAGATATTTGGCAAAGACAACCTCCAATCTTTCATAACACATATATACACATTGATATACAACCTACCACCTTTGTGCATGGTCTAACCAAAGAAACACACATCGTATTACTTACACTAGACCAAATCTTTCACTACATAAATTTGGTACAATTAGCTCAAAATAACTCGAGAGAACATTACTACTAGTAATATTTAACTAATACTTATTCTTGTTATACTTAACAATTCAACACGACCACATGTTTCTTGACCACAAACACCTCTATATATTTCTTGAGGAATTAATATCTATGGATTAACTCTAGAAATCATTTCCATCAGTCAATCTCCTTATTATTGACTTGATCACCTTGCATGAATGTAGGCAGTTCATAAGGAATAATCTCCAAACCCATGCATTTCTCCATAATGGAAGGTGGACCAACATGAATATATATCTTCCATAAAAGAATTCATTCTATTCTCTTCAAAAAATATATCATCCAATGCAAATTCTGGGACTTCACTGAAATCACAATATTCACGAACTTGCTCAATATTCCCTTGGCAAAACTCAATGGTTTCTACTTTGGCAGTAGAGTTTGTGGCATTGCTAGTTTGAGATTTTTTTTTGCTGTTTCCCTTTTCCAAATTCAAGCTTTTGATGTAATTCTGGAGGAGAGAACTAGGCTTTGGCCATTTGGTACGACATTTTCGTCTTGAAAATTGCCTTCTTTTTGTTGCATTCCAATGATTCTTAATGGAATTCTCAGTTCTTCCACGTAGTCTTTTTGCAATTTCTGCCCATTTGTTTCCCACTTCGGCATGAGCTTCTATTAGGATCCTGTCTTCTTCCTCTGTCCACAAATCCTTCTGAAACAACGGAAATAAAGTTTTTAAGTTTTATGGATTGACGGTTAAAAATATTTGGATAATCATGTCCTTTATATATTAGGTAATTAATTATAAATAAATTAAACTATACTATTAATGCTAAAAAACTTTATACTGACTATGCATATAACTTAAAAGCATATGGAATTAATCGTTAACAAAATTTTCCACAAGTCCTAAGGAATATTGGGGAAAAGAAATTCTACTACATGCATGGATACAGAAAGAAGAACAATGACAAAGAAAGAGAAAACCCTTTACATGGAATGTGATAAACTTGCATAAAGATATTAAGGGAAGATTCTAAACAGAAATCAAGATTAATATTATTTGCAAAGAAAGAAATAAAAAATCATACTTTTATATCAGGTCTGAGATGGTTGTGCCACCTCTCCCTACTTTGCTTGCCTATCCTCCCTTTGAGCATTTGTGCAATTTGAGACCATTTTCTAACTCCAAACTTCTCTACCAAATGGATCAAAAACCTGCACGTATATAAGTTTATTTTGATAAGTACATCAAGTTTCTCAATAGGAATTTAACCTACTAATTAAGACAATCTTCACGGCAAAAGAAAAAAAAGAAACATGAAATAACCAAAGATAACATAATTAAGTATTTAAAAGTATATTTTGTCTAACAACTCAAGCTTTTAAATGAAATAAAACGATATGATTACCTGTCTTCTTCAATCGTCCATTGTCCTTTGGCGGATTTAGACTTTTTCTTCCTCCCTCTACCTACCTAGTTTTTTCATTGATGAAGATAATAAGCTTCTTTCATTTCTTTTCACCTTCTTATTCTTTCTTCTTTCACCAATTTCTAATTTGCAATTAGAACCATTAGTGACACATGATGAACTTTCATCAGGCACAACAAAATTCAAAGGCTTCGCATCTTCACAACTCAAGGAATTAAAATAGCTCTCATTGTACGTGTAACTAACATCCATAGTATTCTCCTTGATTGTGTTACCACTCTCTCCATTTTCTTGATCAAATGGCTTAAGCTCATAACTTAAGTTAAAATCTTCTAATGAAGAAAAATTATCCTCATTGGAGAATGGATCAAAGGGGTCATAACCATTGGTATCAATCATAAAATTTCCAGTACTGTTGTTGAAGGTATAGTTAGGTAGTACTCCTCCTGAAAGAGAAAAGTTAAGATCAAGGTGCTGAAAATATTGAAGATAATTTTTTGAGTCTATGCAAAAATCATCATCTAATTCTGGTTTGAGGCTATTGTTATTAGGCGCAAAAATTGGGTGAAAAGAAAGCTCTTGTTTATCAAGTTCCATTGGAAGGAAATTAGCTTGAGGAAAATGGAGGAGAAATGAGGGGGAAAAAGGGAGCTCTCTAATCTCTATTTCATTCTCCGATCTTCAATTTAATTTAATTTAATTTCCTTCTCTGTTTGTTATCTTAATGGTAGTAGTAAAGGAGTGACATTTATTGTAGTGTGAATGTATCTGGACTGTTTTTATCAAAGGGTGATCTAATTGCAATTGTTCTAAAGGACCAAGGCTTGTTTTGTTCAGGACTAATTAAACAAAGTATGTACCAAATTTAGGTAGTTTTATAATGATTAGATTCTCAAGTTAGATATATGTTTTTGTTGAATTTTATTAATTTGATCACAAAATCTGATTTATCTTGATTTTTGATTATGTCAGATTTGGATCTTCTTTATTCAGTCTAATGTCTATTATCTTTCTCATTGACGGATGTATATCGAGGTTCGAGTTACATACAAAATTGAGTATTTTATATGTATTTATATTAGGCTCAAAATCATATGTACATACAATGATACTGTGAATAATTACATTAAAAAGTAGTGTTGAAATTAGTAAATACATGTAAAGGAACTAAATTCTTCTTCTTCTTCCTTATTTTTCTTTTCGATCCTTATAAAAATGTAAAAGAGGGGTTTACTTATTTGTTTAATTGATACAGTAAATATGTACCATTAAATTGTTCAGCTTAGTAAATTCACACTACGTGAAATTTATCGTAATTTCCCTTTTCTTTCAAACTTTAACTTAAAATGATGTGCACAAAGAATACGGAGGAATAAGTCAATGGTATTTCTTTAATTAAAGCAGTCAATAGTAGCAATTCCTTGTTAAAATTAGCCAACGGATGTAATAAGAAGTTACTGCAATTTAATATAATTTTGACTTTGCAAAATAATTTTTTTTGCGATAAATCTTCATTTAACATCAATTCTCCGAGTTATATTTTCAAAATCACACAATTGTATCATTACTCAAATTTTCATCACCCTTTTTTTGGCCCTTTGCATTTATTAAATAGGCTTTGTTTTAAAGAGAGTAATATGCTAAATGTTTCGAAAATGGAATTTTTTGTTAAAAATTTCATATATTGATAAGCGAGAATTTATGTTGAAAATCAACTCTATTTTGGAGAGGACAACTTAATTACCATGTTAAACAAAAACATGTTTCGTGTTTTAGTTCAAAAATTTGTATTCTAGTCTTTAAATGTCATAAAGATTTTTTACCATTATTGTCCACCAATTAATTCTTTGACCATGTAACTGGACAACCAGAATGTTCGTCTTAGTACCTTTAAATCTTTAGCATATAGTAGGAGAGTAGATGAGTAATTAGATTTGTTAACTGAAGCTCTCTTTCTCTTTCTCTCTCTCTTTCCATTGTCACATTAAATTCTGAAATTACTACTTGTCATTAAGAGTAATATTAATAGTCAATAAATTATCATAGATGTTACGATAACTCAGTCAACCTAATGTTGAATTACAATGGTTAAATGTTGCAGTTAACTATTCTCTCTCTATTTTTCTTTTAAAATCAAGAGTTTTATTGGTCTAATTTTACTACGGGATAAAATAAGTAAATAAAAGTAAGGTATGACATTAACCTAACATCAGCAAGTAGTAAAATATATCGGAAATAAATGTGACAACAAGGAGCTTTTCTTCTCCTTTTACGAGAGTGAGCTAGGGGTCAGTTGTTTAAGACTCAATTATTCAAATGGTCACTCAATTATCTCAAATTATTTCTTAAAGTTATTTTTTTTATTTATAATAACAAAGTCGTTGAACTATGCTTATTGCACTCAGAAGGTCACTCGTCTTTATTTTCCAAATTTTTGAATTGGGTCAATAGGCATAGTTCAGTAACTTTGTTGTTACAATCGAAAGAAAAGTGACTTTAGGAAATAATTTGGGATATTTGAGTGACCATTTGAGTAATGAAATCGTTGTTTAATGCAAAAATCATATGTGTGGCGCTGGAAACAGAGCATATGTATTTATCAGGAGAGTTTAAAATTAACAACAAAAATGGGTGTGAGCACGTGATTTTTGCCCTATATGAATTATTCCCATAAATTCAAAAACAAAACAATTTTTTCCATTGTTTGCAATTTTGCAGATTTTTTGTTGCATTTTCTGTTATTGTTTGCATTTGTCTGTGCATGTTTATTTTATTTAAATTATTTAAAAATAAAAAAAAATATGTTGCATTTTTTTGCATTTAGGATTTAACTTTGCATTTTTAAGAATTAATTAAGTAGCTTTACAAAAATGGAAAATCACAAAAAATAGTTTATTGTTGCTTTTTAATTTTTGATTTTTTGGTAATTCTCCCTTTAATTTGGTACTTAACTTAGTTGTGGTAGTCATAATTTAGAGTTAATTAAATTAATTAGATAATTTGGATTAGGAATTAATTTAGGTTTTTATTTTAGTTTAATTTAAAAGAAATTGGGAAAGGAAAAGAAATGAAAATAAAAGGAAATAGAAAAGGCTGTATTTGGGCCAAACTTGACAATTGTCCCCAAAACCCAACCAAAACTGGCCCAGACCCNAAATAGTTTATTGTTGCTTTTTAATTTTTGATTTTTTGGTAATTCTCCCTTTAATTTGGTACTTAACTTAGTTGTGGTAGTCATAATTAGAGTTAATTAAATTAATTAGATAATTTGGATTAGGAATTAATTTAGGTTTTTATTTTAGTTTAATTTAAAAGAAATTGGGAAAGGAAAAGAAATGAAAATAAAAGGAAATAGAAAAGGCTGTATTTGGGCCAAACTTGACAATTGTCCCCAAAACCCAACCAAAACCGGCCCAGACCCGCCCCAATAACCGGTCCGTCTCCAGCTTAATCCAAATGATGCCGTTTCAGGCGTTTTAATCTGGACCGTTGAATTAGTTTGATTAAACGGTCCAAATTCTCGCCCCCAAACCCCGACTCGATCCAGAACCAAATCGGTTCCCCCAGTGAAACAAAACGACCTCGTTTTCCATTAATGATTTAATCAGAGCCGTTGGATTCCAATCATCCAATGGCCCTAACTAAATCATAAATTTAATATACTCAAAACCTCAAACCCCTTACCCCTCTCAGAACCCCCCCTCATCGTCTCTGATCTCTCTTCAGAGACCAGCCAAAATCGCCGCCTCAAACCACCGTTGGCCGCCCGCCGGAAATCGTCTACGGCAGCGGGTAATCACCAAACAACCCCAAATTCACACCATCGACTCTCCTTCATCTCCCCGTTCCGAATCCTTAATCCATTACCTTCGAATCACAGTCGAACTCTTCGAATATGGGATCGAAGGTCAGACCCTTAAACCCTAACTTACCCAATCGACCCCAAATCAACACCACCTAACCCCCATATCTCCCTCGTACCAAATCCATTATTGTTTTCCCTCGAATATTGCAAGAATCTCTCGAATCTTAAATCCGAGGTCGAGCCCTAAAAATCTAAGATTGTCCTCAATAAATCCTAGTGGCATGCATGGTCATATGGTGTTGTTTCTGTCAAAGTTTTGAAGATTAGATTCGACGAAGACTGATGTTGCTCAGTTGTTCTTGACAAAGAACAAATGTGTAACATCAATCTCGTTAAATCAAGGTCTACAGCAGGTTGTTGATTTCTGAAATGGTAAGTGTTTTCATTCTTTTAATCCATTTCATCTCCTTTTTCCTCTCCCTTTCTTTAGTTAGATTTTTTTTACTCCCTTTGAAAACTCGACCAATATGTTGAGTTCAAACTGTTCTCTACTCGTTGTCCCCTTTGTTTCTTTTTGTAAAAGTTGTTCTATGATTCTTATTGGTCCGCTGACTTAGTTTATCTAATTAGGTCGTTTGTTTTAATAACCTAACTAATTTCATGTTTGTTTGTTGATATTAATCAGTCATATAGTAGTTGTTATTAATCTGTCGTATGTTGAATCCATTTAAGTAGTCGATTTTGTTTTCTGCCTTCCATATGATCGCAGAAATTGGTTTGGATCACAGACAGTAGCTCAAGGACTTTGGGTCAATTTGACCCGTTTGTTAGGTTTGAGTAATTAACAGGGGTTGTAAGGGTAGCCTAGGGATTATTTAGTTTGTGTGAAACTTACCTAACTAATTAAGAAGCTTCTAATAGTGGTAGGGTTTAGGAGTGCATTATTGAATAAAATAAAGAGCAAAGAATTGAGTGGAATCAATTAAGAAATTAGGGAAGGGGCATTTATGAATAGGGAATTGATTTTAGGCTTCCTTAAGAGATCCTATATAAAGCTTGCTTAGGAAAAGACTAAAGGAGAACATACAGAATATAGAGTCCAAAGAAAAAGAAACAGAGATATAGAAGTTTAAGAGGGAGGACAAAATAAGAGAGAGACCTAGAAGATAAAAATCCAAAAATACAAACAGCTGCTTTTCACTGTTTGATTAAATTCTTTCTATGATCTCTTCAGTTTCTAATTCCTGAAATAGTTTCTAACTTATCTGGGCTCAAATGATTTGAATCTTGTGGTTTAAAAGCTTGGTTTGAAGTTTTGGTTGTGGATTTTTGATTTTTGAGCATCAGTCTTTGGTTTAAAGCTGTTTTTTTTTCTGTGGTTTCTTTCTGCTGCTGGATACTGTTGTTGCTACTGCTGATCTTATCCCCTTTACTTTCATTTCCAAGTATTTCCTTAGTCTAGAAATACTGATTGAATGCTTGTTATGAGAATCAAGTGGAATCCGATGTAATATAGGCTGTATTTGCCATAGTTTTTCTTTTTTTCTTTTTCCTTACTGTTTAAATACCATGTAGTAGATTGGTAATGGTAGATGTTAAACGAGCTGGTACTGGTATTATAAAATGGGGTTTGTGTTTTAGCCAATTGTTTAGTTTCAACATTAAATAACATGTTTAGAAGGTGTATGAGCAGGTTTGTGGATTGTTTGTATGGCAAATGAACTGTAGGCCTCAATTATTCAGTATCACAGATTTTTTTGCTTAAGTTTCTGTCAAAAATCAGTAAGGTTTTGGTTCTAATATTTATCTGAATCCATTAAAATGTAAGGTGTTTGGCTTGTACGTGTATTGATGTTGTTTTATAAGCATGTTTGCCCATGAGCCTAAGGTTTGAGATCATGTTTGTTCATTAGGCCCTTTTACAAGTCTCCATTTATCATGTACATGGAT